ATGCATTATTACCCAGCAACCACTCCTGTTGATAGACAGAAAAGTGATTTATGGAGAGCGTAGCTATCTTAAAAACGTGTACCCATCTCTAGAAAAAGTGTGTCATGGATGCTGAAACAAGTTGGGAACTTTTGCAAGTAAGATTCCTAGCAAAAATCAGATAGCAAGGATCAGCCTCATTAGAGATGTAAACAGTCCAAAACAAACCCAAAATTTATGTGAGAAAAAATATTTTCATTATCGATATGGTATCGAAACTACAAAAATACTATTGAAAATTAGAGAGGAATTTCTGAAAGTTTGTTATATGCCTTACTTATACTCAGCAGCTTCACTGTGCATAATCAGCAATCTAAACGAAAAGGTAATGTGATACATTTGGGACAATGTCCTATGTTCAATGTACAGAAAAGTATATATTAAAATTATCCAAACGCTAAAGAGGTAAAAGAAATATTGCACGAAAAGAATTAAGTAGTACTATCAAAATATATTAAAGGCATCATTTTGTATAGACTAAATGGAGCAGGTGGTTCTTAACTCATAGTAAATAAGTAAAGTGAAAGCGCAAAAAAAAGTGCATCAGTTATATACACACATATAACAGCTTTAGCTCTTCAAATCCTTTAACTTTTTATCCTAATTCATAACAACCTATGGCAGAAGAACAATTAGAATCAAGGAAACTATTAAGGATTAAGGATAGCAACAAATTATAACTACACCTTTAGAATAAAATATATTAAAAATATAGACGCATATTAAAATTACTATTATAATATTTATAGGGAAACCTAATGAAATAAATTAAACTTGCAAATAAAACAGTATGTCTGTATTTTGTTTTATTTTTTTTTTAATGAAACCTTGTTAAAGTCAATAACAGTAATTGAATACTATATTTTATGAAATTTAAAACAATCTACAAGCTATGAAAATTAATCAACTTTTTCAGACATAAATAAAATTACATGCCCTTTTGTAATTTCACAATACAGAGTCGACTCGGAACAATTGTCATATATTTTTATAAATTTTGCGAAATATTTAATGAAAACAATTCAGCACAAAATAACACAAATTGTGTTATTTGCAGAGTAAATAATTTTGTAACCGAATACACAATACAGTGTAAAACAATTTCATTTTATTGCATTTTCACCGGAACACTCTTGTTTCGCACTAAATTTATTTTCCACTACTCGAGTTACTTCAGCTTCTGAATTGTTTCAAAGTAACAAACAAAAATTACATTTATTCAACATAAAAATAATTACAAACAACACTCAACAGACAACAGACAACAAACAACACTGACCGTGTTAATTCATATTAAATTTCATGACTAACAGGTGCTCATACATTTATTTATATATAACAGATTGTTTACAATATAAGCAAAAAAACATAAAAAATAATAATAATTCTATGAATGAAATAAAGTACAATGAAAATTAACTGTTAAATAATGAAATAATATTTATTAAATTAAGATATTAATATTCCTTTTATTTATTAAAACATATTGTATATATGGTAAATAAGTTGCATTGGATGATTTATAATTTCCTTAAAAAATAAAATAAAATAATAATTATGGATATTAAATAAATTGAGATGCTCCCAAAAAAATCTTAAACAGAAATCTTAATTTTATAATTAGACACACCAACCTAGACGAAAAGATCAGAACATCTAGCTATACGACAATAGTAACCCTTAATGAATGATAAACTAACTTTAAGGTAGTATTTGATATTATTATTAATACTTTATCTTATATTTTTCTACACACCGCGACTCAAATAGAGTTTTGCGTAAACCTCAATTGTCTTAACCAACTCTTAATCGATTTAGATAATGAGACCACAATATTTAAAACGCAATATGGAGAACTCAAGTTACCTTACTTTCTTATTTGGTCATATCAACTCGTTATCTGGTTACAGTCTGACTGTGCACACTTATCTAGGCGCATCTGGTACGTGGGCGCCTTTCTGATTTTAAAAACATAACCGGAGATGTGCTCTTTCTTTAATTATTTTTCTATCACCTCATTGCCGCCTCTTTCAATAAAGTATCTTCATCCCTTCTTATCACATGACCAAGGAAACGAAATTGCTGGATGTTAATTCGTTAAATGATGATAATGTCGTGATAAGTTCGTAGAGTTTATGGTAAATTCGAATACGGTTGTCGCAAAGGATCTTACAAAGTACACACGGAAACACAAACAGGTATTCATATCTGCAATCCCATACCATAGTACATGTCTTTTTGCACCTAACAGAAGTACAGGTACGATGAATGATATATGAAGCGTATGTTTTCATCATGTCAGTCAAGAAAGACCAATACATTCAGATTGACTATAGAAACCATAGTATATTATCAATGGTACTGCTTTGTCTAATCTGCTGGCTGACATTGTTATCGTTAATTATGTTAGTTACTAATAAAAATGAACTCTTCTCTTTGATATTTAATCCATAATATATTTAAGTATTTATAAAATATATAAGAATATATAGAGTACAATTATAAAGAAAACAAGAGTTAAGCAAGAGAAAAGAATAAGTCTGGTATAAAAGTTATTTATTGACTCCAACTTTAAAAACTTGAAAGTAGCTATACCATTAAATGAACTCTATTTAAGAATTTTAAAATGCCGATAAAAAAAAATTAATTCATTATATATGGCTGCAAAATTAGTTTGCCCTTTATGGATTGAACTCAATATTTTGAAAGAATACCAATACAATTCAATACTAAGGGCCTCAAAATTTGGGAAGCTGGTAAAAGTGCTCAAAAAATTTTTTTTTTTAATTTTAATTTTGTATAGAACAAAATAGATTACTTTGTCATTGTGATATATAAGTAATATTTTAGCTATTAAAAAAATAATAAAATAATTATAATAATAAAATAATAATAATAGAATAATAATAATAAAATAATAATAATAAAATAATAATAATAAAATAATAATAATAAAATAATAATAATAAAATAATAAATAATAATATAAAATAATAAAATATAAATAATAATAATAAAATAATAATAATAATAAAATAATATGAGGTTTTTTCGAAGAGTAGTGACTGACCATACAGCTGTTTCGAGTATTGCCAAGTTCCCATCATCATGGTCTTGGAAATATTCTTGTATGATTATTCGTAAATAATTATTTTTGAGACTGCAAGTAACAAGAAATCGAACTAAAACCTAAGTTAATATAAGAAGTAAATAATATAAATAAAATAATAAAATAATAATAATAAAATAATAATAATAAAATAATAATAATAAAATAATAATAATAAAATAATAATAATAAAATAATACTAATAAAATAAAACTAATAAAATAATAATAATAAAATAATAGTAATAAAATAATAATAAAAAAATATGAATAATAAAATCATACTAATAAAATGGTAATAATCTTATAATAATATTATAATAATATTATAATAATAATATAATAATAATGTAGTAATAATAAATTGAATGAGATCGAACTACAAAGCTAACAACCTACATTTATGCAAATTATATTTTTTTTCAAAGGATCGAAATGTTAGCAACAAATTTCAAACAAAAAGATTTTTTTATATCTTTAATCTTCTTTTAAATATTATAAGATAATTTTTTTATTTATAGATTCAATAAACTACCAAGAATGTAAACAAATTCCAAAAATATTTCTTTCATCAATTTTAGGCTGATGACGTTGTTTCGTATTTAACAATAAAAAAAAAGAAGAAAAAACATATTCGCATATAAAATTATGTAAAATTTGTTTAAATTTAATTAAAAACTCAACACTTCAATCAGTGATAATAAAAAAAAATTAATAAAAAAAATATTTGTTGACTCAACACCATCGTTTAATAGATTTTTATTGAATCTTTTTTAATGCCTTCATTTTATTAGAAATACAAATGAGGTAATGTATGCTTTTTGCCATACAAGAGGCAATGATTATGTGGCTTTTTATTTTGGAATGACTACACTGACCATTGGCCATGACTATGTTAAGATAAAATTTTAAAAATTAATAATTATTAAAAAAAAAGAAAATAAAATAAAAATAAAAATAAAAATGGAAAATATTATACTCGTACTATACTTAAAAAGTGGAAAAACAAACAGCAAATAAACACTTCGAACAATTGTTTTATTATTAAAAAAATATTTAGCAAGTGATTAGCAGCAAATCATTTTAAGTCTGTAAAGACAGATACGTGATTGCTTAGATACTTAATGGGAATGGAGTGTGTACGGCGAGTGGCTGGGAGGCAGCATATGCCAGATGCACATGTCAAAATCTATGACAGTGCAAAAGTCCTTCAGTGCTGTGGTTCGACTGTTTTAAACTTGCAATTTAATATATGCGTCAACTATTTTTAGTAGCTTAGCTTAGTTTAGCTCAGATAAAATATTTACTAAATTGTTTTTATGCTAATAAGCATAGATACTTGTGTGCTGGGTGTTATTTTTAATTAATGTATGGCATGTGCTAAACTTGTTTATGCAATTATTGGCAATTACGAATGTATGTAATGTTAACACTTGTGCATCTGTAATTCACATTTGCAAATGCAAATTTCTAATTACCAACATCCGTGATGTATGTTTTGGGTAAATATTAGTTATTTTCATAAATTATTTCACTAATGTAGGTTAAGTTTAAAGGATTTTATTACAAGTTTAATGATAAAAATACTCTTTGTCATATATAAAAACATCTGAACACTATTAGACACTATTAGATGCTATTATGTGTGATAGCCAAAAGCACTTATTCATAATAAATAATTAGTTTCAGTGGGAAATTGGTACACTGCTTCATTGATAGTGATAAATTTAAGTTATTGATGCTAAAAATATATCATAATAATATTTATAAATATTTTCATAAGCACAGTATAAATATTTTGAAAATTTTATTTTTAATTGGTTTAATAACTTTAATGTTAATAGTATTTTTACCTTCGTCTCGGCTTGTTAAAAATCTGTAAATAAAAAAAAAGAAAATAAATTAATAAACAATTTTCGACATTGACAAAGGTTTTAATAATGCTGCATTCCTAATATAAAATTTATATTTAAATACAATGGGGGAAAAAATGAAAATATTTTTAAGTAAAACAAATTTTCTCTTACAGTTTTAAGTGAACTCACTTCAACAAAAAAAAAAAGAAAAAACCAAATCTAAAAATATTAAGAAACCAAAAATAACCAAACCTAAATTTTATTTTATTGCTATGTTTTTTTAATAGTTGGCAGCAAAAATTAATTATATATCTAAAGTAGAGTAGACAGACTGATAGACTGACTGATAGACAGACAGAAAGATTGAAACACATGCAGACACAGACGTGATTACTTTCACACGTTCACGCGCATTAATTGGCGTTGAAGCGAAAAAGCTATTTAATTTTAGCTGAGATATTTATCTGACAGATTGGCCCGCTTAATGAATTTATTAGGATTGCAAATTTCTATTGTTTTTGAAAAGATAAAATAATTAAAATTAAAGTATTTAATTGTTTTCGTTAATATAACTATTGTTAATATTTAATTTCAAATATAATTATAACAGATTAATTGGAATGTAGTTGCAATGATCACAATTATTTTTAATTAATATATGATTTTATAGTAGTATCAAGATTTTTTATTTATATATAAATAAAAACTAAAAATTATAATTACATTTTCGTTTTATAAAAAAGGAAATAATTTTTAATACTAATTACATTAGGTATGAATATAAGTACAGTATATATACAGTATATATGCATTAAGTACCAATGAGGTTGTGTATTTAGTATGTAGCATTTACGATCACATAAAAATTACATTTGCTATATACGATTCATTAATTATAATAATTATTCGAATTTCAACTCAGCTTGGCTAATTGGCATGCATTAAGGCATCATGACTAAATGATAAGATTTCAAATTATATTAGCTTAGCGCTTTAGTCGCCGAGATAGCACTGTCATATTTATTTTTTTAATGTGTATTAATGAAATTCATAACTTTTATGCTTGCTGAATGCACTTTATTAAAAATTTTTTTTTATTTGGAAACCATTTTATTACAATCTGTCTAATTTAATTAATAAATTTTGATAAATTATAAAAAGCAAATAATATATAGCAAATAAATCCGTAGATATTTATTTATAATGATATAAACTAATCTTTTTTTTCCAGAAGTTTTCCAGAAAGTCTCTAGAAGTTTTTCTTCTTACTAGGTGTTCAAAAGTGATACCAGATCTATTGTAAGTGGGTTTGGATGACTATTTAAACCAATAGTTCCCAACCTTGTTCTGACCAAGGACCATGATATAATACTTTTGTTTCTAATAGGGACTAAAAATGATAAACAGTATGATTATTTTAATAAGCTTTATGCATTTCTGGTATAATGTATAATAAATTGTATAAATACATAAATAAATAATGTAGACTAAAAAATATGTATATAATTACTTGGAAATTTGTTGTGCTTAGTTTTATAGCTTATAGCATACCTGCTAAATTTGATTCGCGGACTATTTGTAACCATCTCGCGACCGCCGGTAGGGAACAACTGATATAGGTGAATGGCATATTTCTTTGTAATTCTAGCGTAGTGTTTTTAATAATACAGAGCACTGAAATATTTTTGATTCAGTAGATAATCACACTAATTCAGAATTGCACTCTTTTAAATCAAATGTAATACACATTTTGTCAGGAAAATACGCTGGGCTATACTTTTGCAAATTTCCGGAATAACTTGTTTTCAGAATTCTACGAAACTGTTGTCACAATGGAACATTTAAGTGGTCACAGACTCTATTGAGTAGAAGTGCTTGCTTGAGACACTAACTTAAGTTACATCAAGTAAAAGAGTTGTAATATTGCACGATTTTTATCTACCGAAATCCCTCATAACTGTAGTTCTTAATTCTAGATCTGTTTCAAAATCTCCTTCTCTAATGTTATTTTACACTTAGTATTTCAACTAAGGAAGCAAAATAAGTTGCGTAGTTTGAGATCCAAAACTTTTCTTTTGTTGCAAATGAAAATTTTCTACGTCAATTTCATATCCCAGTGAGTTTCTAAATAATATGTGTCTAGAACCTGGATTAATTGTGTGGAATTTATTGAGACAGCGGTCAGTTAGAAATCAACTAGTGGTAAATGTGACCTGGACGGATATAAATTGTGTATGTGTGATTTAGTTTAATTTGCCAGTCTTTCATTCACGTGGAGTTATTGTTAACGTATGTCTGTAGGTTTCGCTTGTACTACAAATAATGAATAGGAGTGTTGTATTGTCCACAAAAAGCATATTTGTGGACAATACCTCCTTCAGTAAGTGAAATGTCCTCCTTCAGTAAGTGAAATGTCCGTGGTAAAAAACAGTTAAAGCATTTTGATCCCTGTTTTAATTTCAATAGAAATATTGATTGAAGGACCTACTGCAGTTGAACGCACTGAAGCTAATTAACTTATAATAAGTTATGAATGTAACAATTATAAGTTAAGTTAATTGTTCGAAGCTCTTTTATGAGATATTTTTTAATTTATTTCTCAGACTAGGATATATAGGGAAAGACTTAGCAGCACTGATGAGGCACTTTTAATATTTTCTGCGACTCATAAACATCTGTTTTTGATAAAAATAGAGTAACCATATGTTTTTATTTAACATTTTAAATGGCTGAGCACAAGTAATTTCGTTGGTACCACAAATTTTAACACACTCTTTATTCAAAAATTATCGATAGTAAAATCGATGAATGTATTTTGTGGTAATTATTTTAAATTACCACAAATAAATTTTTCGCTATTTACTAAATCAACAGCTGTAAACACAGTAATTGGTAACTAACTATAAAACTGAGAGTACTAATATATTACAGTATTCCTAACTTCTTACAGGCAAAGGATTTCTAAAATTTATTTAAAATCTGAATTTTTAAAGAAATAAGTAATTAAAATTATTTATTTTTTAAAATAAATATTGTAACCATTTACTTAAAATTTGTTTTTTAACTATTTATTTGTTAGAAAGTAACTATTTGTTAATTTGTTTATTTCATATAAAATAAAAATTTATTTTTTTTTATGTTTATTTAATTGCGATTCAATTAACAATTTACTTTAAGGGGGGACTTACAAATGAAAAACCTAACAATTTAAGAAGTAATATCCACAAGAAAAGCATCATCTGGTTTAAGACCATCACAGTTATAACCTTAATTAATAAATCTACCATATGTCAGTAATTAAGATAATTATTCTAAATTGTATCTAAATTGTGTCTAAATTGTGTATAAATTATTCTAAATTGTGTCTAAATTGAGTCTAAATTGGAACACTTTCTCTAGTATAATTGCAGTATCCTAATGAATTTAAATTGTAGCAAACGTATTCAGTTTATCATGTTCAAATATATTTCTTGGCAGATTTATAATCGGTTTTATAAAGAAATGATATATTAAAGCAAGCTGTAAGACAACTTAAAATCATAAACAGATACTTTATTGCCAAGAAATAAGTTCAATCCCTTTCGAAACCTCAATATATATATAAACCCTTGTTTTTAAAATATATATAATCGGTTTATAGTATAGACAATGATATTTTATCGATATTGTATTTACATATACATAACTCGTCGATTCAATTCGGAGTAGGCTTCAGCTCCCTAAACCCATGCACTGGTTACGCGGTTGTGGTATTTGTTAAACGATAATTTCTTTCATATTTCAAATCGAAATGCAGATATATTATATTATAATAATGATTTATCAAAAAAATGTATTTAAAATAAAAATTGAAATAAGAAATGTATATATTATCAAATTAAATTAAATTTACTTATAGCATAATAAGTAATCCGTGTTATCAATAACAGATTATTGTATATATTAGAGAAGTTTTAATAATTATAATTATGTTGAGCATTACATCATACTTTATTATTAGTAATATTTTAATAACAAATCATTGTTATATACTTTTCAACTATAGCTTACTGACACTAACACTACAGAAAAAAATAAATACCTAAAAATGAAAACAAAAAATATCAATAATTAAAAACAAAAAGACAATAGGGAAGATTTATAGACAGTATAAAAATATCTTACAACAGCAATTAAATTATAAAGCATCAGTAACGTGGATTTGAATAAATTTAGCGATAGACGCAAGTTCATTATCATTATAAAACCGTGATGATTATAACTTCATCGTCAAATATTCTATTTTTATTGCTAAAAATTCTACATAAATTAATAATAAAAATATTAAAAAAAGTTATTAAATTAATATGTTAAAAAAAATAATAAGAAAAAAATCATTAGATATTCATTCATGCTTTAAAGTAATTTGTACTGATGTCTGGTTAGTAATTAGTAATTTATTACGTTGTTTATACTATGCATATCTCCAGAAGTAAAAAAAGATACTTAACATCAAACATAATTACTTTTGAATTTGTTTTACTTTATTGAGGAAATAATACTGGTACGCATCATTTTCATTATTATTATTATTAATTTTAATAAAGAGTTATTAAAATTTGTAATAAATTATTAAAACACACAAAAATCTGATACTATTTTTAACAATTATTAATAAAAAGTATTTAAGTATTTTTAAACGATAATTTGAATTAAACAGTAAATATCAAATTTTACTTAATAGAAAGTATTGTATTCAATAGATCTGTTCGGGTACTTATCTAATGAACACTGACTCTGAGATTCAAATTTGGTAGGGCGGCACAAGTTCAACTTTTGGTAGTTGCAGTCTTAAAAAATTATTTATAATTACATATAAGAAATAACTTAAAGACCTGAATGGGCATTTGGCACAATTCGAAACAGCTGTATAGTCAGCCAAAAATTCAATTAATTAATGAATTCAAATATAAATACATATTTTGTTGTTATAATTCACTACAGTTTGAAGCCTCTCTAATAATTACTCATTAGAAAAGTGT